GTGATGTGCATCTCTGTAATGAGAAGGTGTGTGGTCTAATGACATCAACACCCTATATCAGGTGTGCATAATTATTAGGCAACTTCTTTTCCTTTGGCAAAATGGGTCAAAAGAAGGACTTGACAGGCTCAGAAAAGTAAAAAATAGTGAGATATCTTGCAGAGGGATGCAGCACTCTTAAAATTGCAAAGCTTCTGAAGCGTGATCATCGAACAATCAAGCGGTTCATTCAAAATAGTCAACAGGGTCGCAAAAAGCGTGTGGAAAAACCAAGGCGCAAAATAACTGCCCATGAACTGAGAAAAGTCAAGCGTGCAGCTGCCACGATGCCACTTGCAACCAGTTTGGCCATATTTCAGAGCTGCAACATCACTGGAGTGCCCAAAAGCACAAGGTGTGCAATACTCAGAGACATGGCCAAGGTAAGAAAGGCTGAAAGACGACCACCACTGAACAAGACACACAAGCTGAAACGTCAAGACTGGGCCAAGAAATATCTCAAGACTGATTTTTCTAAGGTTTTATGGAATGATGAAATGAGAGTGAGTCTTGATGGGCCAGATGGATGGGCCCGTGGCTGGATTGGTAAGGGCAGAGAGCTCCAGTCCGACTCAGACGCCAGCAAGGTGGAGGTGGAGTACTGGTTTGGGCTGGTATCATCAAAGATGAGCTTGTGGGGCCTTTTCGGGTTGAGGATGGAGTCAAGCTCAACTCCCAGTCCTACTGCCAGTTCCTGGAAGACACCTTCTTCAAACAGTGGTACAGGAAGAAGTCTGCATCCTTCAAGAAAAACATGATTTTCATGCAGGACAATGCTCCATTACACGCGTCCAAGTACTCCACAGCGTGGCTGGCAAGAAAGGGTATAAAAGAAGAAAATCTAATGACATGGCCTCCTTGTTCACCTGATCTGAACCCCATTGAGAACCTGTGGTCCATCATCAAATGTGAGATTTACAAGGAGGAAAACAGTACACCTCTCTGAACAGTGTCTGGGAGGCTGTGGTTGCTGCTGCACGCAATGTTGATGGTGAACAGATCAAACACTGACAGAATCCATGGATGGCAGGCTTTTGAGTGCCCTTGCAAAGAAAGGTGGCTATATTGGTCACTGATTTGTTTTTGTTTTGTTTTGAATGTCAGAAATGTATATTTGTGAATGTTGAGATGTTATATTGGTTTCACTGGTAATAATAAATAATTGAAATGGGTATATATTTGTTTTTTGTTAAGTTGCCTAATAATTATGCACAGTAATAGTCACCTGCACACACAGATATCCCCCTAACATAGCTATAACTAAAACAAACTAAAAACTACTTCCAAAAATATTCAGCTTTGATATTAATGAGTTTTTTGGGTTCATTGAGAACATGGTTGTTGTTCAATAATAAAATTAATCCTCAAAAATACAACTTGCCTAATAATTCTGCATTCCCTGTATGCATTACTTCCGGCCTATTCTAACTAACGTACCACCAAATCCAAAATTACGTTCATAAGCTAGCTTTGACACTGCCACTCTTATGAGACTTTACTTTGTATGAATTTACATGCTTGGAGCCTGGCCCCTGACACATGGAGTCTCTTACTTGTACTCTCTACTTCAAATACATATTCTTGCAGCAACACCCACCTTCATGAGTATGTTGGAGACTCATCCAGGAGTGAGATTTAGTGAATGAGATTGGAAAAAAATCCATTATTTGACACATCACTGTTCTGCATCAAGTAAGGCCCAAGAGATAGCTTCCAAATTATTGACATGTTGGCATTGCATACTCAGTTACATGCAGCTTATAGAAGGATCTATAAGCTTCATTTAACTAGGTGTGCGATACCAGCACACCGGTCCCTGTTGGAGATGTGAAAGATCGAAAGGAATGCTGTTCGACCTATGGTTGGAATGTACAATGATTTAAATTTTATGGAAGTAGAATCATGATGTGCTACGGATGTTCTTGAACTCTTTTTGACCCTGCCCCTATGCTTCTACACCATATAACTAGTCCAAGGACACATTATAAGAAAACAACCATGATTCATATTCTGAATGTGGCCAAACAAGTAGTTTCCAAGTTTTGGAAACAGTTGGTTAAACCTCCACTCATGTTGTGGTCCAAACAGAAGGGGGAAATCCGAGTGATGGAGGAATTACATTTTGGAGCTATCCATAAGGCTATCTTATATTCAGAGATATGAATGCTTTGAATTCTAACTACCTCCTATGAGGGCTTCCAAAACTAAGGGGATCATAGTCATAGAGAGACCGGACTGCTACATTCCTACCTTCCCATCCATACCTCTTACCCTAACCCTATCCCACACCCACATCCTGGTTTTAACCCGCCCTATACTTATTGTTAGACTGTGAGGACTGGGACAGTCTGAGGATTATTGACGCTCTGCATGGGACTCATAAAGATGGACATGCAAGACACTGCCAAATGACTCACACCGGTTGTAAAGGGGAACTTTGGATGTATGGAGATTGAAGTGACTGGAGGGCATAACCTCCATATAAAAATAGGGAAGATGGAGAAAGATGGAGGGGTAGAGGAGGAAGGGAGGGGAAAAGAAGGAGATCACTTTACAAGATAGTTCCTTGCATGACCCAGGACGAGACCCACGTATGTTTGGTAATGCTATTGTGTGTTGCCTATGTAACTATATACTCAAACAATGAGGGAAAAAATATTTGATCCCCTGCTGATTTTGAACGTTTGCCCATTGACAAAAAAAAATGATCAGTCTATAATTTTAATGGTAGATGTATTTCAACAGTGAGAGACAGAATAAAAAAAAATCCAGAGAAAATCAAGTAAAAAAAGTTAGAAATTGATTTGCATGTCAATGAGTGAAATATGTATTTGATCCCATATCAATCAGCAAGATTTCAGGCTTCCAGGTGTCTTTATACAGGTAACCAGCTGAGATTAGGAGCATTCTCTTAAAGGGAGTGCTCCTAATCTCAGCTCGTTACCTGTATAAAAGATACCTGTCCACAAAAGCAATCAATCATTCAGATTCCAAACTCTCCACCATGGCCAAGACCAAAGAGGTGTCCAAGGATGTCAGGGACAAGATTGTAGACCCACACAAGGCTGGAATGGGCTACATGACCATCGCCAAGCAGCTTGGTGAAAAGGTGACAAGGTTATTCGCAAATGGAAGACACACAAAATAACTGTCAGTCTCCCTCAGTCTGATGCTCCATGCTGATCTCACCTCATGTAGCTTCAATGATCATGAGAATAGTGAACCAGCCCAGAACTACATGGGAAGATCTTGTTAATGACCTTAAGGCAACTGTCACCAAGAAAACACACTACGCCATGAAGGACTGAAATTCTGAAGCGCCCACAAGGCCCCCCTGCTCAAGAAAGCACATAAAC